AGTAAATCATCCAGATATTTTCAGAAATGTCTGTTGTAAAGCTGTGAGGAAACCATGGCCGTATGGTTTTTTAATTGTAAAGCTCATCAATTAAGCTTGTTATTGTAATCAATTTTGCCAAATTAATGTAAATGTTTGATGTTAAATTTTGATTCTGTTAATAAATGACCACGTTCATTTTGATGGGTCAAAGAAAATTAACGTCTCACGTCACATTTAATAATTCAATGCACGATATTACTCAGTCCAGAAAAATGAAAGAATCCGTTTAATTTATGAATAATATCAACAGATATAGTTCATTACACTGCTAACCGAACCACACTGTACATGTATTTCACTTTCACATTTGGCGCCTTGTTTTTGTATTTCTGCTGCATGCTTTGGTATTTCTTGTTTCTCTTTTGGCGAGTCGAGACAGTTCTTCTCGTCCTAAGCATTTCGTTGCATTGTTGACCGTGTGTTGATTTTTGCATATGACAAATAAACCTAATCTGACATTACCTTCTTGTTGTGCTGAACTCTCCAAAATAGTTATTGAATTAACTGTTTACTTATGTAAGTAAGCATAGATGTTTAACAGCCCATTAAAATACACCAAAATGCAGGAAATAGCATCTACTTTATTCAGAATTTTTTAGGGTAGGACCCCCAGACTCCCCCACCAGTGTTCGACCTGTGATATAATGTAAAATGTATCTATTGCACTAAGCAAACTTTTATAGTCACATATTGGTAAATGAAGTGTTCAACATGTTTGCCTGGGCCTCCTAGAAGCTCAGGCTGATAAAGAGTTTCTTCATCACAAATCTCTTGTACTCCTTAATGTACTCACTGACCTTCGAATGGCTAATATCCGTCATCCTCCCTTACTGTTAAAATAATGCTGACTTGGCTGTTTTCCTGAGTTGGACCTTGGGTTCCAGGCCTCATCTTATCTGAAGAAGACCACTTGCTGAAACATCCAGTCTTCTAAGAACTTCTGTATTAAGAAATGTATGTGTAACCGAAGACCTATAAAGGTCGGTGAATCCTTTGTTCAGGGCTTCACTTTTGCACTGCAGGCAGAGGGAGCCTTCGTACGCTTGTTTGAGCCTCCGAAATAAAGACACTTGCAAGATCAGATCTGATCTCCTCATTTAGTCTCAGCAAACTTATATATCCCTGTTTGTTAAAGTTTCCACGACAGACCCCTCCACACACACACACATTATGAATGTTTCTGACGTCAATGGCCACCACGTTGTTCAAATCAAGAGCCATTTTCAGCAGTGGGGGCTAATCACCCCTAATGGTCAGATTCTAGAATCGCCCCTGCAGCCTTTTCCCTGTCAGTTTAAAGCACTTCTTAAAACTCTTTGCTTCTTGGCTTTGGACACCATCTGAGATAGTTTATTTAAATGATTTTATGTGAGTCTTTTATTTATTACAAGGCTATTTTTACTTTGGTTTTTGTCCCATCTTGTCATAACTGTTGAAGTTTATTTATTGTGACTGTTTAGCGCTTCTGTGGTTGTTTAAACTGTTTTATAATTAAAGCTGGTATTTTATTAAAACATTATCTAAAAACAACATTTTAGTCATGTGATTGGTAGGACACCTTTGTGAACACTGATTGATTGTTTGGTTTGTTTGTCATTAATAGATACACTGATGACGGATAGTTGATTGATCTATTGATAATACTGTACTTCTATGTTGAACCACAAAAATAAATAAATAAATAAAATAAAACACTCAAAGAACTTGACTTTTTTTCTGGTAAATTTTTATTTTTAATTTTTATGTTTTTGGTAAATCTTTGCAGCCTTCACATCTAAGGTCCAGAGCTCATCTATAAAGATGAAGCACAAAGTTGAAGCTTGTTCCTTCACTCATTGTTCAGTTGTGGCAGGGCACTGAAATCTGTCATAAAGCTCCTCTCAATCCTTACTGATGATCATCAGTGACATCAGGCTAAAGATTCAGTTCACTCTTACAATCATCTTCTCCCAACATCTTTAGTTTGTCTGATCAGGAAGTGAAGGGAAATTATGTGACAAATGAAAGCTTCTTTGTGGAGCGATATTAAAGCAGTACATGACTGAACCACAGCGCAAGTCCATCACATGCTTCAGCTGTCAGTGTGAGAGACTCTGTCTTGAGCTTCCTTCTCCTTTTATTTTAGGGGCTCAGGCTGACTTCCCCCCTGAAATAAAAGGAGAAGAGTAGCTTGGTTAGAGTCATCCTCATCTCCGATGCCAAACCCTTCCAGTCATCAACCAGTCAGTCAAGAAAGAACATGAGTTACACATTTTGTATAAAAAACAAAACACAATTACCAAAAGCAGCATAAAATTAGTCAGTGAAGGTCATCTGGTTGATTTTGTAAACATTAGACAAATTGAAAGTCTCAGCTCGCAGTGTTTTGTCTTTTAGCTGCGCCGTACAGGGGTCACCACAGCAGATCAGCTGCCTCCACCTCACATTATCTCCCGCCTCATCTACTGTCACACCAATCGGTTTCGTGTCCTCCATCACTACATCCTAGATCACATCAAACATCACAACATCTTCTCTGACGTCTTCCACTTTTTCCTCTGCCTGACAGCTCAATCTACAAAATCCTTTGTTGAATAATTCTACTCTCTTTTCATCACATCTACACTTCCAGATGCAGGAAGAGGGCCACCTGCATCATGAAGGACCCCACTCACCCAGCACACACTTTTTGCCCCGCTCCCCTCAGGCAGGAGGTTAAGGAGCATTAAGTGTAGAACCAAAAAACTGAGGAACAGCTTCTGCCCTGAAGCTGTTAGACTCATGAATCTCTAACCAGGATAATCACTGTGAAGAATCACATAATTTTGCTGCTGATCTGTTTCATGTTGATGTGTTCATGCATACTCATCTTCTCACACAGACTTATGCTCATGTTCGTGCTGCTGTTCGACGTAATATTTTTATGCTATTAGTGCTTAGTGTATGTATAAATACATCTTAGTTGATGTTTTCTTAGTTCATATCTTAGATGTTATCATTTTCTTTTACATTTTATTGTTTAATGTAACTGGGAACCTGTGTACATAATTTCATTCCATCACATGTACCACATGTGGTGGAACAACAATGAAGAATCTCTGACTCTGACATGTAAACCTGTCCTCTGGTTTTGTTTCTGAACTCAACCTTAGCGGTCCCAATGATCTACATGTGTCCAGTTCTATCCATCCTGGTCATGCCACATGAAAATCTCAGCATCTTCATCTCTGCCACCTGCAGCTCCTCCTCCTGTCTTATAGACAGTGCCACTGTCTCCAGACCTTACATTGTAGCAGCTCTCACCGCTGTCTTGTAAACTTTCCCTTTCGCTCTTGCTGCCATCCTTTGGTCACACCTCAACCTTGAAGCACATCTCTACCCACTCCATCCTATTTACACCCTCTTCTAGTTGCCTTCATTCCTTAATGATCTTATTCCACCACCAACTTTTCTTGTTTTCCCCTGACTAGAAGAAACACCAAGTATCTTCTTGTCCATTTTCCCCCCTGCCATAGCTGTACTTTTCTAGTCCACTGGTCCTCTTTACTACCCTCAGTAGGGCCTATTACAGTTCTTCCCTGAATTGTTGTCGACAGTCCTCCTCTTTCATTTTCCACCATTTAATTTCTGTCGTCCGTCTCTTTCTCCTCTTTGTTTCTAACCTTTTTTATAACTATCATCATTTGTTGTTTTGCAACACTCTCCCTTGGCACCCTTAAAGTCTCCAGTCTTTTTCAGGTTGCATCTCGAACCTGCATCCACTCTGTTTCACCCTCTTCTGAAAACAGGTGTTTGGTCATTGTTCAGTTGTGGCAGGGCACTGAAATTTGTGATAAAGCTTCTCTCACACAGTCATTTCCTTTTTCTTTGCAAAATTAACAACTCTGTCCTTCTGGATTCATGTCTTTCACACCATACCAACACAGCCCCTCTTCATCTGCTTTGTTCCCATCACTAACATGACCACTGAAGTCTGCTCCAGTCAACACTCTCTTGTCTCTGGGGACACCTTCTACTATGTAATTCAGCTTACGTCAGAATTCATTTTCTCCTCAAACTCACATATGTACTGACATTTTTCAAAATTACACACTCAATCTCCAACTTAAAGTTCATGATTATGTCTGACACTCAAATGACACACAAATGATAATTTGCAATACTAAAATATATTTTTCAACACATCTGCCACTTTCTACCTTTACTAATCTTTGTACTTACATTCAGAGTACCCACTTTAACCTCTACACTCTTGCTTTTCCCTTTCTCTCGCTGTCTCCTAACACCCTGTCATCCTCTCCTTTTTGATGGTCTTTGACCAACAGAGAGCCCAATTTCCACCCACACACTATAGCACTAGAGGAGGTTGTTGTCAACACATGCCTCGACCAATTCAGGATGGCAGTCTTATAGGGGAGTGGTGGCGCAGAGGTTAGAGAAGATGGGTTTGTGATCGGAAAGTCACAGGTTCAACTCCCCAGACTGACATCAAAATGTGTGTCCACACCTGCCTCCACCCTCATTTGCCCCACTCTGGGACCTTGAGCAAGGCCCTTAAACCTCACCATCTGCTACCAAACAGGTTTCTCTTGAAAATGAGTTCTCGTGACTCAATGAGGCTACCTGTATAAATAAAGGGCAAATAAAAAATTAAATATTTTTTTTTTTTAATCTGTGATCTGCATTTTTTTAATGCCGGAAGCTCTTCCTGATATAACCCTCACCATTTACCCAGAAGTACACATAAAGTGCTTTTCCAATAGTTGTTTTTTTCCATTCCCACAGTAAAAGTAATAAAGCCAACTCCCTGTGATCAGTATTTGAAGACCTTCACTACTTTAAGTGAAAACCATGTGATCCCGAGTTAAAACACCAACACTATTCGATGAGTTACTCAGAAGAACCACAGTTCAGTTAGTTGTGGCTGAACTAGATAGTATTTGAAGTTTTATAATGAGCTGCATAAAAGTTGTACTTACCGTTCTGCACTTCATCACCTCCTGCGTCCTACACAACAGAAACAAATGAGATTCTCACAGACAGTCAGCTGGCCTGAGCTTCATGTATCATATGTCTGTAAAGGATGGATAACTTACCAGCTTTGGTACAGGCTGAGGCAGCATGTGACCAATCCCACTGACGATCCAGCCCATCATACTTTAAACACATCAATGAGACATTAAAAATAAAGGAAACACTCCATCATGCCATTAAAAACTTTTACAACAAAATCATTAATCAATTTGAAAATTAACATAGCATTTTCTTTTGTCCATTCATCCATTTTCTGATACCTATCAGTGAATTTCTAAAGTATCAAAAGTTTGCTCTGAGAATTATTATTAGAGTAAGAAACAAGGTGAGTTACTTGAATTGTTGCTTATTTCCATGCTATGTACAAAAGTATGCTCATTATTAGGACTGAATAAATTTTATTTGGACTTTTTAAAGATAATATTGTTCTTTTTTAAATACAACTTAAAGTCACAGTGATTAAATCACATGTTAAATTCAACGTTAAGTGCCATGTATTGTACCAGTAACATAGAACAGCAGTTAAATTTAAACAAACATTTATACTTACTTTGATTGGTGATCTGCATCCTTAACAGACCTAGGAATGGGGGAGAAAGAAAAACTATTTCTAATGTTTTTATTGTTGCTACATATAACAGCAATTTTAGGCAGTCTATAAGAAGTAGTGACAAAATAAAAATGCCTACTAAAGTCAGACAAGAACTGAGAAAACACTGCCTTTTACAGTAAAGGCAGGAATCTTAAAAACACTGTCCTCTACAGTCAAGGACAGTGATGGTGGGCACACTGTCTTTTGCTATAAGACAGACCACCTAAATATTGACTTTTACCATCAAACAGAGACAACAGAAACACTGACTTCTACCAACAGAAATAGACCAAAGAAACACTGACTTCTACCGTCAAACAGAGACCACAGAAACACTGACTTCTAGTATCAGACTGAGACCACAGAAACACTGACTTCTACCATCAAACTGAGACCACTAAACACTGACTTCTACCATCAG